GAAATTGTGCTTCGTGCAACATAATTCTGGGTGACATTTAAAAAACCATAAGTGCTAATGACTCCATTCCTTTTTGGGGTAATGGGGGCTGTTAATTGGAGTACTCTAAAACAAACCTGACCTCTCTAGGATATTCAAAAGCCAAGTTATAAGCCCACAAAGGTGTAACTGGACTACTTCTTTAAAGTGACACCAGGCCCGGTGACCTTTGGGACATGGTTTGACCCCCTATAGGAATGTGCGATCATCATGAAACGTTCAGAACACTTACAACTCATTAGATTCTACTTTCTTGTAACGTTTCAGCCTGATTGGACCTTGTTTTCACACAAATGGACCCAGAATGATGTGAAATTGTGCTTTGTGCAACATAATTCTGGGTGCCATTTCCAAACCATAAGTGCTAATGACTCCATTCCTTTTTGTGGTTGTAGGGGCTGTTGAAACAAACCTGATCTCTCTAGGACATTCAGAAGCCAAGTTATAAGCCCAAAAATGTGTAACTGGACTACTTCTTTAAATTGACACCAGATCCGGTGACCTTTGGGACATGGTTTGACCCCCTTAGGAAAGTGCTATCATCATGAAACATTCAGATCACTTACAACTCAATCGATTCTACCTTCCTGTAACGTTTCTGCCTTATTGGACCTTGTTTTCACACAAATGAACCCAGAATGATGTGAAATTGTGCTTCGTGCAACATAATTCTGGGTGCCACTTAAAAACCATAAGTGCTAATGACTCCATTCCTTTTTGGGGTAATGGGGGCTGTTAATTGGAGTACTCTAAATCAAACCTGACCTCTCTAGGATATTCAGAAGCCAAGTTATAAGCCCACAAAGGTGTAACTGGACTACTTCTTTAAAGTGACACCAGGCCCGGTGACCTTTGGGACATGGTTTGACCCCCTATAGGAATGTGCGATCATCATGAAACGTTCAGATCACTTACAACTCAATAGATTCTACCTTCTTGTAACGTTTCAGCCTGATTGGACCTTGTTTTCACACAAATGGACCCAGAATGATGTGAAATTGTGCTTTGTGATACATAATTCTGGGTGCCATTTACAAACCATAAGTGCTAATGACTCTATTCCTTTTTCTGGTTTTAGGGGCTGTTGATTGGAGTACACTAAAACAAACCTGATCTCTCTAGGACATTCAGAAGCGAAGTTATAAGCCCACAAAGGTGTAACTGGACTACTTCTTTAAATTGACACCAGATCCGGTGACCTTTGGGACATGGTTTGACCCCCTTAGGAAAGTGCTATCATCATGAAACCTTCAGATCAATTACAACTCAATAGATTCTACCTTCCTGTACCGTTTCAGCCTGATTGGACCTTGTTTTCACACAAATGAACCCAGAATGATGTGAAATTGTGCTTTGTGCACCATAATTCTGGGTGCCATTTACCAACCATAAGTGCTAATGACTCCATTCCTTTTTGTGGTTGTAGGGGCTGTTGATTGGAGTACACTAAACAAACCTGACCTCTCTAGGACATTCAGAAGCCAAGTTATAAGCCCACAAATGTGTAACTGGACTACTTCTTAAATTGACACCAGATCCGGTTACCTTTGGGACATGGTTTGACCCCCTTAGGAAAGTGCTATCATCATGAAACGTTCAGATCACTTACAACTCAATAGATTCTACCTTCCTGTAACGTTTCAGCCTGATTGGACCTTGTTTTCACACAAATGAACCCAGAATGATGTGAAATTGTGCTTCGTGCAACATAATTCTGGGTGCCATTTAAAAACCATAAGTGCTAATGACTCCATTCCTTTTTGTGGTTGTAGGGGCTGTTGATTGGAGTACACTAAAACAAACCTGACCTCTCTAGGATATTCACAAGCCAAGTTATAAGCCCACAAAGGTGTAACTTGACTACTTCTTTAAAGTGACACCAGGTCCGGTGACCTTTGGGACATGGTTTGACCCCCTATAGGAATGTGCGATCATCATGAAACGTTCAGATCACTTACAACTCAATAGATTCTACCTTCTAGTAACGTTTCAGCCTGATTGGACCTTGTTTTCACACAAATGGACCCAGAATGATGTGAAATTGTGCTTTGTGCACCATAATTCTGGGTGCCATTTACAAATCATAAGTGCTAATGACTCCATTCCTTTTTGTGGTTGTAGGGGCTGTTGATTGGAGTACACTAAAACAAACCTGACCTCTCTAGGATATTCAAAAGCCAAGTTATAAGCCCACAAAGGTGTAACTTGACTACTTCTTTAAAGTGACACCAGGCCCGGTGACCTTTGGGACATGGTTTGACCCCCTATAGGAATGTGCGATCATCATGAAACGTTCAGATCACTTACAACTCAATAGATTCTACCTTCTTGTAACTTTTCAGCCTGACTGGACCTTGTTTTCACACAAATGGACCCAGAATGATGTGAAATTGTGCTTCGTGCAACATAATTCTGGGTGCCATTTAAAAACCATAAGTGCTAATGACTCCATTCCTTTTTGTGGTTGTAAGGGCTGTTGATTGGAGTACACTAAAACAAACCTGACCTCTCTAGGACATTCAGAAGCCACGTTATAAGCCCACAAATGTGTAACTGGACTACTTCTTTAAATTGACACCAGATCCGGTGACCTTTGGGACATGGTTTGACCCCCTTAGGAAAGTGATATCATCATGAAACGTTCAGATCACTTACAACTCAATATATTCTACCTTCCGGTAACGTTTCAGCCTGATTGGACCTTGTTTTCACACAAATGAACCCAGAATGTTGTGAAATTGTGCTTGTGCAACATAATTCTGGGTGCCATTTAAAAACCATAAGTGATAATGACTCCATTTCTTTTTGGGGTAATGGGGGCTGTTAATTGGAGTACTCTAAAACAAATCTGACCTCTCTAGGATATTCAGAAGCCAAGTTATAAGCCCACAAAGGTGTAACTGGACTACTTCTTTAAAGTGACACCAGGCCCGGTGACCTTTGGGACATGGTTTGACCCCCTATAGGAATGTGCGATCATCATGAAACGTTCAGATCACTTACAACTCAATAGATTCTACCTTCCTATAACGTTTCTGCCTGATTGGACCTTGTTTTCACACAAATGAACCCAGAATGATGTGAAATTGTGCTTTGTGCAACATAATTCTGGGTGACATTTAAAAAACCATAAGTGCTAATGACTCCATTCCTTTTTGGGGTAATGGGGGCTGTTAATTGGAGCACTCTAAAACAAACCTGACCTCTCTAGGATATTCAAAAGCCAAGTTATAAGCCCACAAAAGTGTAACTGGACTACTTCTTTAAAGTGACACCAGGCCCGGTGACCTTTGGGACATGGTTTGACCCCCTATAGGAATGTGCGATCATCATGAAACGTTCAGATCACTTACAACTCAATAGATTCTACTTTCTTGTAACGTTTCAGCCTGATTGGACCTTGTTTTCACACAAATGGACCCAGAATGATGTGAAATTGTGCTTTGTGCAACATAATTCTGGGTGCCATTTCCAAACCATAAGTGCTAATGACTCCATTCCTTTTTGTGGTTGTAGGGGCTGTTGATTGGAGTACACTAAAACAAACCTGATCTCTCTAGGACATTCAGAAGCCAAGTTATAAGCCCACAAAGGTGTAACTGGACTACTTCTTTAAATTGACACCAGATCCGGTGACCTTTGGGACATGGTTTGACCCCCTTAGGAAAGTGCTATCATCATGAAACGTTCAGATCACTTACAACTCAATAGATTCTACCTTCCTGTACCGTTTCAGCCTGATTGGACCTTGTTTTCACACAAATGAACCCAGAATTATGTGAAATTGTGCTTTGTGCACCATAATTCTGGGTGCCATTTACCAACCATAAGTGCTAATGACTCCATTCCTTTTTGTGGTTGTAGGGGCTGTTGATTGGAGTACACTAAAACAAACCTGATCTCTCTAGGACATTCAGAAGCCAAGTTATAAGCCCACAAAGGTGTAACTGGACTACTTCTTTAAATTGACACCAGATCCGGTGACCTTTGGGACATGGTTTGACCCCCTATAGGAATGTGCGATCATCATGAAACGTTCAGATCACTTACAACTCAATAGATTCTACTTTCTTGTAACGTTTCAGCCTGATTGGACCTTGTTTTCACACAAATGGACCCAGAATGATGTGAAATTGTGCTTTGTGCAACATAATTCTGGGTGCCATTTCCAAACCATAAGTGCTAATGACTCCATTCCTTTTTGTGGTTGTAGGGGCTGTTGATTGGAGTACACTAAAACAAACCTGACCTCTCTAGGATATTCAAAAGCCAAGTTATAAGCCCACAAAGGTGTAACTTTACTACTTCTTTAAAGTGACACCAGGCCCGGTGACCTATGGGGCATGGTTTGACCCCCTTAGGAAAGTGCTATCATCATGAAACGTTCAGATCACTTAAAACTCAATAGATTCTACCTTCCTGTAACGTTTCAGCCTGATTGGACCTTGTGTTCACACAAATGAACCCAGAATGATGTGAAATTGTGCTTCGTGCAACATAATTCTGGGTGCCATTTAAAAACCATAAGTGCTAATGACTCCATTCATTTTTGTGGTTGTAGGGGCTGTTGATTGGAGTACACTAAAACAAACCTGATCTCTGTAGGACATTCAGAAGCCAAGTTATAAGCCCACAAATGTGTAACTGGACCAGGGGCATGTCCAGGGGGTGGCCTGAGGTGGCATATGCCACCCCTGGAATCTGATTGGCCACCCCAAGTGCCACCCACACTGAGCTCCATTTAACTTGACTCTATATTTTCCACAAACGTTCATGAATTATAAATCCCAAAAAAGTAAGATGAAGTATGCATATTCAACATTATCTTATTAATTTTATTTTATTATTCTTTATTATCTTGTATTTTTTTTATAAATTGTATTTGGAGTCCTGGTTCATTCCCACTCCATTCCAGTTGGTGGCGGTAATTAGCCAAGAAGTGCTGCTGCCTGCTACAGTAGAGTTCTAAGAAGAAGAAGGAGGACGAGGAGGCCTACAGATTACCCAAAGAAGAAGAGAAGAAGGTTCCTGGAGAAGACAAGCTAGTGGATAACCGTGGATAACATACATTCAATGAACAATATTTGAACATTTTTCCTTCATGTAAGTGATTTCGTAACATTTGTTTCCTGAAATGTGACTAGACTTTTGCAAGATTTATAGTAAAAAAGTTTTTGGTGCAACTTTAAAGTATTTAACCAGGTTAACTGCAGTTACCATGGCAAGCCATCTTGTCGACAAAAACGATCTAGATTCTAGGCTAGCAGTGTGTCACACCATGGTTAAACCCACCTTTAGACTACTTAAACACAGCTAAAAGCAAAGATAGCACGCGACCCGCACGCACAAAAACAGAAGCGCGACTGCAACGAGCGCACGCTAATCACGGCAGAGGCAACAGGCGACTGCTTTGTAATTGCCCTTTGGTGTTCAAAGTCACATGTGAGGGAATATTATAAATCCCCAGAGATGCTAAAGGAGATATTAATTCAGGACATATGCTCGTCCATCTGCAGAACTGGCAGGAAATAATTTGCAGCCGAAGGTTTAAATATGATTCAATCATCAGGTCTGAGATCCAAATGCAGAGAAATAAACAAGTCAGATTATGTTAGTGACAGGAGAAACTCTACAGTAATATTAGAACAATCCAGTGAAAGAAGGTTCATTTAGAAAAATAAAGATATCAACTAATAAAACTTATATTGAGTGATATTTATAACTATATTATAGTAATTTAACATCTCATTTCATTTGACGTCTCCAATCTTCAGTGTTGACTGGAGTAATTGTGATGAGTTAAACCTAACCCAGACCAGTTATCAACAGTTAAGTATTTTTTGAAACATGGTAATTGGCAAAGTTGATGAGTATTTTAAAAGTTGTAAACTATAGTTTAAAAATAACAGAAATTATTCAAACTTTATGTATTCCTTTTTTCTAAGCAGAATCTCAGAAAAGCAGCAATACATTTCTGGAGTTTTAAGCCACAACTTGTATTTGTATGATTTATTTACATTAATACAGAAAATGACCACAGTAATCATGAAACTATGAATATTTATCCAGATTTTAATTGTATGACCCAAATTTTAAACTGTTGCAACCCTAAACAACATTGGCTAGTACACAGTTACACTTCACTGGTGCTTTTCTGAACACATCTGAAGTAAAGTGAATTGAGTCTGTGAACGGAAATACACTGTTAATGAGTCAGTTGGAATACTTTTCCCCGCCACTTGTGAGATAGCTGAACCCCCACTGCTAATTTTTTTATGCCAGAAAAATCTTTGGTTGCCTCATTATGCATTATGAACAAGGTGTAACATGACTTGTCTTCCTGTGACTGTTACAGTATGAAAAGAACTCTGAACATTAAGGATTTCTTCAAAAGAAAGAAAGCAGGAACATCAGAGCAGGACAGATCAGCCAGCATTAATGCTAGTAGTCAGTCAGAGAGCCAGCTTGAGGATAGACCACAGCAGAAGGGGTCCCCAGCTTCTGCTGTGCATATGGGTAGGTAATGTAACACTGTGATTAACTGCTACATATTTAAAATAATGTTAAAAGTTGATTACTTTTAATTTATTTCAGTGATTTCTATTTTTTATATTGACTGGCTTTAGTTTGCTCTTCTTTGTTTACAGGTTGTTGTTTTTTTACAGTTGTTTAACTGAATATTAATGGAGTCTTACTTTGCTGCTTTTCTGCACTCTAAAATAGCAGATTGTATTATGATATTTCCTATTCTATGGTGTTTTTTAAGAGTTGGACAAAGACTCTGGAGATGAAGGCTGTTCAACTTTACCTGCGACTCCTGAGTATGGTATGCACAAGTGAACACATTTTTAGCCTTGTAGTTCCTCTTTAGCTAAAGTTATTACATTTGATTGATACCACTGTCATTTTAGGGATATCAAGTCTGCCACATTCAGACCATGAAACTGACACTGAGGACCAACCACCAGAAGTACCTATAAGCCCTGAGGTTTCCCATGAGGAAAGTGATGTTGCAGCCTCTTGTGCTCCACGTGGACCTCATGGTATGTTTTAATGCATTTTTTACATTAATACATTGCAGTATATGCAATACACAATTAATTGATTAAAACACACAGTTTTTTTGTTTGAGATTATGCTGATTGTGAGGCATTAACTATTTCAGATATTTCACAATCAAGAGCAGCAGGTCCCACTCAACCTCAGCTGAAGATTTTTCCTAAAACGGTCTTTGGTGAGAGGAAGAGATCATTCAATTCTTCATGGTATGATCAGCATTCATGGCTTGAATACTCTGCAAGCCAAGATTCAGCCTACTGTTATGCCTGCAGACACTTCTCCCTGCCTAGTGCATCAGAATCAGTTTTTACATCAGAGTCTGGATTTTCACATTGGAAAAAGGCTATGTTCAAAGATGGTGGTTTCAAGTTGCATGAGAAATCTGAGTCACACATTACTGCCATGTTGGCTTGGAGTCAACAAAAAAGAGCTGTACTAACAGATTCATCCATAATGGATATGATGAACCAAGAATACAGAAAAAAAGTGGAAGAGAATTGTAGTTACATTAAAACAATTGCAGATGTACTGCTTTTGACAGCAACACAGAATATGGCACAGAGAGGTCACAGTGAATCTGAGTCTGACAACAGAGGGAATTTTTTAGAAATTCTTGAAGTCATTGCAAAACACAATCCTGTAGTAGCCAGAAAAATGAAAGGACCTGGTAATGCTAAATATACTAGCAATACGATCCAGAATGAAATCTTGCAGTGTTTAGCAGACATGGTGCGTGATACCATTGTGAAGGAAGTGAAGAAGAGTGAGGTATTTTCAGTGATTGCTGATGAAAGCAAAGATCTGCAAAAGAAGGAGCAGCTGTCATTAGTTGTAAGATACTACTACAATAGTGCAGTGCATGAAAGCTTTCTTTGTTTTCAACATGCCGAACAACTGGATGCTAAGAGCCTGAGTGAAATGATCATTGGATGTTTGGAGAGCTATGGCCTTGAATACAAGTCAAATCTCATTGGGCAAGGCTATGATGGAGCCACAGTTATGAGTGGCAAACACTCTGGTGTTGCTGCAAGGATAAAAGAAAAGGCAAACAATGCTTTTTATGTCCATTGCAATGCACACTGTCTTAACCTGGTTTTGGTTGACACTGTAAAATCAGTTCCAGAGGCTGATTCCTTTTTCTCCCTTCTTGAGAGGCTTTATGTGTTCATGTCAGGATCCTATGTGCACCAGAGATGGCTGGATGTTCAGAAGGAAATGTATGGTGGCCAGCCCAGGGAGTTGGTAAAACTCAGTGACACAAGATGGGCATGTAGAGCTTTGGCTTGTAGGAACTTAATGGATAGGTTACCTGCTGTGTTACGTGTTCTTCAGGACATAAGCACAGAAAATCATAGAGACAGATCTATTGATGCTCGAGGTTTGCTTGCACAGATTGATCTAACCTTTATTAGCCTTCTTGCTACCTTCCGAAAGTTGTTAGGAAACACAAAGCTGCTTTCTGACTTATTGCAGTCACCTTCTGTTGATTTAGCTATGGCAGTAGACATGGTTAAGGCCCTTTGTGATTCATTTCAGGTGTACAGGACTGACACATACTGTGATCAACTATGGCATGACATAATGGAGACTGCCAAACAGTGCAATGTAGCTATTGAGGATGGTGAGAGAAAGGTTGCAAAAAATAAACTCTAGGCTAGGTGGCTCTTTTGTGACATGCACTTTAGGCCTGCGAGAGGGTAATGATGATAAAGAAACATTCAGACAGAGACTACTCTACCCCATTCTTGACAGAATAATGTGTGAAATGGACAGAAGGTTTTCAAAGAACAGCTGCACAATAATGAAAGGTGTACATGCCTTACATCCTAAATGTAGTCAATTCCTTCAAGATAACCTGGTACTTGACTTGGGTAAAATGTATGGATGTGACTGTGAAGATCTTAGCCATGAACTTCACCAGGCTAGGAACATTTTGAAAAGAAAAAGTCATAGTAAGGATACACAGTTATCAAGCATTTTAGACTTGACTCTATTTTTAGAGCCACACCAAGAAGTGTTCCATGAGTTGTTCAGGCTGTGCAAAATAGCTGTGGCTCTTCCAGTTAGTAGTGCTGCCTGTGAGCGTAGCTTTTCAGCTCTGAAGCTCATCAAAAATCACTTAAGGACAACAATGGGAGACAGCAGGCTAAGTCATTTGGGAGTGCTTAGTATTGAGTCAAGAAGAGCCAAGACATTGGACCTGGATGAATTCATTAAAGTGTTTGCAAGGCAACACAAGAAAAGACGGATTAATCTGTTGTGAAACCATATTTGAAACATTTGAGGGTACAAGCACACAATCTGATTTGTGTTTAGGATTTTTTTTTAACTGTAAATGATTTGATGACTGTACTGAAACTTGATGTTAAAGTATGATCGTCCTTGTATAATTTTTATTTGTACCTATTGTATGGAGTTTAACTAAGGCCTTCGTCCAGGCTAATTTATCTGATTTATGTTGGCACTTTATGATATTACAATCTTTTGGACTGTTCCTTTATGAACAGTTAACTAAAGAATAAATAGGTTTCACTTTACCCAGTGTGTTGTTTCATATGTGTTTGTATTGGTTGATTATTTTATGTCTTTGAACACAAGAATGGTAATTTGGGTGGCCTTAAATTAATACATTTTATTTCGTTTTATTTAAACAAGATCAAAACATAATAGGCAATTTAAAATAGATACAGGTAGTGGAGACAAACAATGGTCATGGAACAAAGTGGAGTTTACAAATTCTACAATGCAAAAAAAAAAACCTATTGATTTTGTGATGGGTGAAACTCCACCATCTAAATAAGTACAACTATTGGTGCCACCCATGCAAAAACAAGTGCCCTACCTGGGCCACCCCATTTTATAAGGCCTGGACACGCCACTGAACTGGACTACTTCTTAAATTGACACCAGATCCGGTTACCTTTGGGACATGGTTTGACCCCCTTAGGAAAGGGCTATCATCATGAAACGTTCAGATCACTTACAACTCAATAGATTCTACCTTCCTGTAACGTTTCTGCCTGATTGGACCTTGTTTTCACACAAATGAACCCAGATGATGTGAAATTGTGCTTCGTGCAACATAATTCTGGGTGAAATTTAAAAAACCATAAGTGCTAATGACTCCATTCCTTTTTGGGGTAATGGGGGCTGTTAATTGGAGTACTCTAAAACAAACCTGACCTCTCTAGGATATGCAAAAGCCAAGTTATAAGCCCACAAAGGTGTAACTTGACTACTTCTTTAAAGTGACACCAGGCCCGGTGACCTTTGGGACATGGTTTGACCCCCTATAGGAATGTGCGATCATCATGAAACGTTCAGATCACTTACAACTCAATAGATTCTACTTTCTTGTAATGTTTCAGCCTGATTGGACCTTGTTTTCACACAAATGGACCCAGAATGATGTGAAATTGTGCTTTGTGCAACATAATTCTGGGTGCCATTTCCAAACCATAAGTGCTAATGACTCCATTCCTTTTTGTGGTTGTAGGGGCTGTTGAAACAAACCTGATCTCTCTAGGACATTCAGAAGCCAAGTTATAAGCCCACAAATGTGTAACTGGACCACTTCTTTAAATTGACACCAGATCTGGTGACCTTTGGGACATGGTTTGACCCCCTTAGGAAAGTGCTATCATCAGGAAACGTTCAGATCACTTACAACTCAATAGATTCTACCTTCCTGTAACGTTTCTGCCTGATTGGACCTTGTTTTCACACAAATGAACCCAGAATGACGTGAAATTGTGCTTCGTGCAACATAATTCTGGGTGCCACTTAAAAACCATAAGTGCTAATGACTCCATTCCTTTTTGGGGTAATGGGGGCTGTTAATTGGAGTACTCTAAAACAAACCTGACCTCTCTAGGATATTCAGAAGCCAAATTATAAGCCCACAAAGGTGTAACTGGACTACTTCTTTAAAGTGACACCAGGCCCGGTGACCTTTGGGACATGGTTTGACCCCCTATAGGAATGTGGGATCATCATGAAACGTTCAGATCACTTACAACTCAATAGATTCTACCTTCTTGTAACGTTTCAGCCTGATTGGACCTTGTTTTCACACAAATGGACCCAGAATGATGTGAAATTGTGCTTCGTGCAACATAATTCTGGGTGCCATTTCCAAACCATAAGTGCTAATGACTCCATTCCTATTTGTCGTTGTAGGGGCTGTTGATTGGAGTACACTAAAACAAACCTGATCTCTCTAGGACATTCAGAAGCCAAGTTATAAGCCCTCAAAGGTGTAACTGGACTACTTCTTTAAATTGACACCAGATCCGGTTACCTTTGGGACATGGTTTGACCCCCTTAGGAAAGTGCTATCATCATGAAACGTTCAGATCACTTACAACTCAATAGATTCTACCTTCCTGTAAAGTTTCTGCCTGATTGGACCTTGTTTTCACACAAATGAACCCAGTATGATGTGAAATTGTGCTTCGTGCAACATAATTCTGGGTGAAATTTAAAAAACCATAAGTGCTAATGACTCCATTCCTTTTTGGGGTAATGGGGGCTGTTAATTGGAGTACTCTAAAACAAACCTGACCTCTCTAGGATATTCAAAAGCCAAGTTATAAGCCCACAAAGGTGTAACTTGACTACTTCTTTAAAGTGACACCAGGCCCGGTGACCTTTGGGACATGGTTTGACCCCCTATAGGAATGTGCGATCATCATGAAACGTTCAGATCACTTACAACTCAATATATTCTACTTTCTTGTAATGTTTCAGCCTGATTGGACCTTGTTTTCACACAAATGGACCCAGAATGATGTGAAATTGTGCTTTGTGCAACATAATTCTGGGTGCCATTTCCAAACCATAAGTGCTAATGACTCCATTCCTTTTTGTGGTTGTAGGGGCTGTTGAAACAAACCTGATCTCTCTAGGACATTCAGAAGCCAAGTTATAAGCCCACAAATGTGTAACTGGACCACTTCTTTAAATTGACACCAGATCTGGTGACCTTTGGGACATGGTTTGACCCCCTTAGGAAAGTGCTATCATCAGGAAACGTTCAGATCACTTACAACTCAATAGATTCTACCTTCCTGTAACGTTTCTGCCTGATTGGACCTTGTTTTCACACAAATGAACCCAGAATGATGTGAAATTGTGCTTCGTGCAACATAATTCTGGGTGCCACTTAAAAACCATAAGTGCTAATGACTCCATTCCTTTTTGGGGTAATGGGGGCTGTTAATTGGAGTACTCTAAAACAAACCTGACCTCTCTAGGATATTCAGAAGCCAAGTTATAAGCCCACAAAGGTGTAACTGGACTACTTCTTTAAAGTGACACCAGGCCCGGTGACCTTTGGGACATGGTTTGACCCCCTATAGGAATGTGGGATCATCATGAAACGTTCAGATCACTTACAACTCAATAGATTCTACC